CATCGAAGAGTGGGACCAGATTTTTTCTACTGTGACTAAAGGACTCTTTGTCAACAACTACTACCATCAACAGGTAAATGTATTTTGCATTTACTCATGCTTATCTGAATTCAAATTGCTTGACAATCTGAAACATTTAAAACAGAAACAAGTAAATGTAATAGAGTTATCTCTGCCATTTAATTCCAACTATTCCAGCTAAGGTTTCCAGACATTGCTTCAGCGAATGTTTGTTGGAAACACCCAATAAAAAACCTCCTCCAAAGACAAAAAGACATTATGTGCTGCAGTGGCATGCCTGAGCTAAGTGAACAATTGTAAGAGCTGAGGAACAACAAGTTAGGCCTGTATTGTTCAGTGTTTCCTATAAACAACACAATAGAAACTAAAAGTTATCTCTGAGGTCACAGGTTCTTAAACATTCAATACATTTATTTTGTTGTGTTGAAGTTCTGATCAACATCATTATTAAGGAGGTTTTTCCTTCCCTCCTTTCTCCATTCCTTGACTTAACTTCATTAATCATTGGTTGGTAGATTTCACATAACCTTGCTGACAGACAAGTAGGCAGACAGAGGAAAGACCGAAAACAACAACATACTGAGTTCTAACCTTGAAGAAGGAGCAGTAGGGAGCTCTATGTTGATTAAACTCGTACTACCAGTGGACATGTTCCAGTAAACAAGTTTGAATGATTTAGGCCATATCAGAAGAAACAAAGCAAGTAATGAGATTTTAATGGTACTGATTAAAATTGTTGTCGAGGGCTGGCACTGCTAATGCTTTCCCCTCCGAAATGATGTTAATCATAGAAATAGCTTCACAGTATTTAAATTAAGACACAGTGAGCTCTTCAGTGTATTAAGTGAACAACACACAAATGTAAAAAAGAACAGAAACAAAATCATAGTTTTGGGTACAGTTGAAAAAGTCTGCAGCTTGATTTTCTGTGCTTGGTGTGCCTTCCTTTTTTTTAAATGAGAGGGTATTACCTTCGCACTGTCCATCACTAAATGCTATATGGCGTCTTTCAAAAGTAGCTGTACCCATTCATACCTATCAAACACATTTGATTTGAATTTTCTGTGATTGACCAAAAGTCAAGAGTGTAAAGAGGAAGAGGTAAAGATAAAGAAGGTTTCCATAATGTTTTCAATAAAGAGATGTAATTTACAAATATTTCATAGAGTAACCTTTTGTTGTAATTAAAGCTGCAAGTGTTTTTTTAGTTATTTCTACCGGCTTAATGATCTAAAGACTGAAGTATTTTGCCCATTCGTCTCCAAAACTTCTCAAACTGCCTCACCATTAAACTGAGGACATCTGTGGAGGCACTTTTTTACATTTCAAAACAGATTATGAATCAGGTTTAGCTCTGGGTTAGGCCATTCTACCATGTCAACTCTCTTTGTAATTTGCATGCTAAAGAAAAGTATAAAAAATCATGACAATGCCACCACCGTTTTTCAGTGCGGGTATGAGGCATTTCATTGATGTGGAATGTTAGTTGTCTTCCACACATGTAGCTTTGAATGTTTGGAGGGCCTTCCAGAGTACTGCTGTGTCCCAAGTATGGCATGAAGCAAGTTTTAAACATTACTTCTCATAAGTTTTATCTTTTAACAATGGACCAGAGAACACATTTTAAGGGTTATTATCACTGTTATGCTCAACTGGGTTGTCAAAGGAAAGAAAGACAGAGGATCAGGTGAGCCAAGAACATAAAAAACTTTAATATATCATGAGAGAAGCTGAATGTTTATTCATCTTAATCCTCTAAAGCAGGAAGTGATTTCCTGTCAGACCCCCAGCAGCTATTAGCGACTTTTGTACTCCTCATCATGTTCCTCTTTTGAAATCACCACATTCCACTTTATGGAAATTTGTAGCCTAAACTGAACAGGCATTAAGAGTATTTAGTTTACTATCTGGAATTGTGCTTCTCTAACAGTTGGACAATGTGTTTATGTTACTAGAAACCACAGAATTTTCAACTAATAGAATCAAGCTCAGACCATGAACTCTGCTCCTATTTCCAAAGAAGCAAAAACAGTTTTGTGTCATTTGTTAACAGTTGATGTTTTCCCTTTTGTGGCCAGGCTGAGGCGTGTGCATTAGAGGTGCTACCAGCAGACTGGTGGCTTTGTTGGAGGACCTTTTGTTTTGCTTAACCTGGCTTTTTCAGAGCCAATATTCCAAAGGGTTCCAAGTGCATAGTTATATTTTGATCCTCTACATGCTATGTTTGACCATCAATATACTTCTAAAATGCTGTATGCAAGAAATCTGGAACATTGGGGGGAAACTATTTATTGATGCTAATTTCATAGCCTGAAATGTTTAATTCCTTCAATCCCACACTTGTTTACATATTATGATCCTAAGCGTGTGTGTATTTGCTATGATAACATGAGTAAAAGGTGCAATGGGGGAGCAGCAGACGACGGTGGAGGAGAATATCCATTACATAAGAGATTAAAACCAAAGGAATGGTAGGTATGCAACCAACAACGCCAGCCAACGATGCGGAAGTCAACTCCATGAGCCCCCCGCTGCATACAGAGCCTCAGTGGGCAGCTCCCCTGTACGGGCCTTTGATGCTAAAAGGAACAACCACGTAGCACAGCACCCCAGCACAAACTCATATCATGCAATTAGACACCACTGTTTTTTTAACTCTGCTTTCAGCCACAGCTGCAGAGGTCATACTCTATGAGTGTGCAAGGCAACAGCAGGGACAGTGAATCAAATGGTATACAGTAGGTAACAATCTAGGAGGAAACATTTCAGTTCTGCAGCAATTTATGCGGCATTACAATAGGAAAGCACAATTTGAAGCAGACACAGATAAGAGGCCTACATTTGTTTGTTTTGGATAGAGATGGGACCAAGTCGTTGTGTTAAAAGGGACCAGTAAGTCTGCAGTCGTTTTGCTAAACTCTATGATCAAGTCAGAAGAGAAAAGACGCCAACCGCAAAATTTACAACTCCTGAATCAGGACCCGTTTCCTTCATTTTGAGATTTTTCACACCCATTAGTCCAGTAGGCCCGGTCCTTTTGTTGACTCAGTGTGATTAGGGCTGCCATGTTCTGCCGGTCCGAGATTGCTCTCGCAGTACAGTTTATCAAACAAACCAGACCTTTTAAATGACGCAATCCCTTCTCCTCACACTGAGAGTTCCAAGAAAAGCATCCCATTCTTCTTTACCCAGGAAAACTGTCTTTTTCCTAACCTGAATTATACCTACTTCCAAGCATGTCAAATTGTTATAATGAGTTTTTGTTGAATCAGATCCTGATTTCCATCTCTCCCATTCCACTTCAACTTCCACTCCTCTAAACATTTCCTTGCAGTGCAGGATCATATGTTAATAACTGAGGTAATCAGCAAGATCTAAAAAAGTCTATCTATTGACATATTTGCAACTATTACCCCATACCATAAACATGATCACTAAATTCTTACTATGAATTTAACTTGCTTCCTTAAAATTCGAGCAAAACCTGTCAAAATTCTGCCCCATAAAACAAAGCACCATGCTGCCTGGATAGGTGAATGTAACGGTGGCTTGAGCCTAATATCAACATCCAATGTCAGTGTAGGATCCAATGTGGATTCTGAAACAATTTACTCCAATCTTTATTGGAACTTAAGGAAATTTAAAGGGAGTATTTCCAATCAAACAACATGAGCCACATGAGATTATATAGGAGAAAAAAATGGATTGTTAAAATCATTTTTATTAGATATTGAATCTCCACCTTCTGCAAGCTCCGTACAAGCCTTGGATGCACTGCAGAGCTGCACTGTAAATATATTATCAAAGGGTGTCTGCAATATCAACACTGATAGGTTGGCAATAAATATGAGCTGATGATATAAATGCAATGCATTCATGTTTGGAATTAAAGTAGCTGTGATGCTTGGTATCTTTGGCAGCATAAAATATATTAACATTTTCTAGTAAACTCAGTGAGAAACTGTACTGCCATGCTGCCAAGGTCGTCATGGTGGCAGCATGTTTTTCTACAAGCCATGTTTTTGTACCTTTATTAATGAACTAATGTCTTAGTGCAAAGCGATTATATAGGGTTTTTGGGGTCAATGTTTAAAATGACCCTAAAGCAGCAAGAGGTTAATAATGTGACTTTCAGTATTAATTTTATAGCAGGGTATCAAATATTAGATGTTTTCCTGATATTCTACAGCCCTAATGTACTGATTGTATTTCATATAAGGTGCCAAACATAGAGACTGGACCGAAAGTGCATTAATCAGGGTAGGTCTCTTAGGTTCAGTGAAGGAGACCCGAGTCTGATCTGCAGCTGGATGCTGTGTTGGATCCAGGGACTATGTAAATTGACTCAAAAGAATAAAGTAAGTTCGGTTTACTCAAGGGAAGCTTTAGGTGCATACTTTTTTCTATAGTTGTTCAATTTTGTGCAGAAGGTCACATATTTTAAAGAATTGCTAACATTCCCTGATCATATGTCTGAAAGTGTCTTTTGATGCCATCAAGTTTAGTCCCAAGTTATAAAATCTGTTGCACTGAGTCAAATTCAGCTCCACACCACTGGTGTCTGGGTCATGGACAGGAGTTATGCCTTTCATGTACAGCATATAATCTATTGACACGCAGTCATGATGATGATGAAATTAAAGTTTCCGAGTCTTACACACACAAAGTCTTGTTTTCTATTCTCTAAGTGAGCGGGGGGTGGGGGGTTAATTCTCCTTCCTGTTTCCCACTGTGTAGACATCTGCGGGGGGGGTCATGCATTGCCTGCTCTGATCTGGATGTGTCTCACATAAACACTTAAACACATCTGTTGCTTCATAGGTGCAACCTAAAATCCACATTTCCAGATTCAGCACAACTTTAGAAAAGAAAGCAGAGACCAGAACCATGTAGGAGATCTTCTTATCACTCCAGTCAATTGATCGTCAATAACTGGGGGAAGATTTTTTTTCATGTGTTGGTATGAGCATAACACTGACCTCTGACTCTGGCATAGCAGCAGCCACACTTAACTAGGACTTTACGGAACAAGTGCTGGCAGCCACAGCCTCGGTAGTGGCGATGGTGATGGTGGTGGCCCCCTTTCATGCTGTTCAAGCATTAGCAGGGGTGGGCATGGGGCCCGGCAGTCAGTCTCTCTCCCCCCCACCACTCCTTTCCAGCTTTACTCCTGCAAAGTGTAAATCTCCAAAAAAGGTGTCAGCTGATCCTCTTCTTCTTCTTCTTCTTCTACCTCCTCCTTCTCCTCAGTTGACTGTTAACAGTACTACAGCCCACATCCAAGACACTGGCAGTCCTCAAAAGAAGCAGGCAAGAGGAAATCCAAACCAACAGGGGATTTGTTTTTCTATGAAAAAGGCTGCAAAAGTATCCAGCAAGCTCAGTGATACACTGAACATGTTCTCTTCTCCCTGCCGCTCTCCTGTTTTTCTTTCTCTTCTTTTTCTCTGGTGCTGAGCTCTCGCCTCTGTGAACTGCCTGGTCAAATGACAGACGAGGAGACTGCTTCAGAGAGAGAGAGAGAGAGAGATAGCAGGAGAGAGATAGAAAGAGAGAGTAAGGGGAGGGTGGGAAGGGTGGAGTCTGTGGTAGTTGTCGACTATTCCAGTGTAAGGTTCCCCTCCCCTGCTTTTTTACTTCTGTCCTTTCTGACGTCCCCCCCCCCCCCCACCACCCCCAGCTGATTTTTCAAGCTACCTCTTATCCATTTCCTGTCTTGTCGGCTCTCTCCCCTGTCCTGTCTGTTATCCTCTACATGCTTGTGGCTCATTGTGGCATAGGTAATCCTTCCATGGGGAGCCTCCGACATTCAACTCCAGGACCAGATGAAATGTGTTCTCCTATGTCTGCTCCCTTCTGACCCTGGAAAAAGTAACACCCAGGTCTTAAGTGATGCACGATTCTATTTAGAGAGCATATGCAGAGTCAGGTTTAGGGCTCATGTATTTTCCGGTAAGAGTGACCGGGTTTTCTTTGGACCAAGACATTGGTTCTGGGTTAAACCCCTGCTCTGTTCATCTATGATCCTTAAAAGTAGTTTGCACTTGTCCATGGTGCAAATACTTTATGTGTTCTCATATTTCAAAATGTTGATAATCCTGCAGAGTGGATGCGTACTTCTCTTTCCAACTGTATTTGTATGTAACTCTAGACATACAGTATACTGACTTACTGCTTGAGTTGATACAAAAACATACAAGCATGAACAAAATATCCCAAAGATAAGTTTACTGAGTTCAGGAAAGTACCCTGTAAGTCTATGATTAAATATTAATAGATTCTAATGATTAATAATTTAAGGGTTTCCAAATAACCATAGCTGTTCATCAGTACATAAATTGTATCACAGATGTTCAAGATCCAAAACACTCTCTATAGACAATTGTTATTACACATTTCGCTTGTTTTAATTGCCCCTTAGTACATTTCCTATTGTTAAACTGACTGTTAGGGTAGTGTATAGCGTATATCGAAAGGAACAGCTGAGTTCTGGGAAAGTAAGATGTACTGTAAACCTCCCAATAGTGAACTCTAAGATGCTGGCGATAGCCCTATATGTAAAGTAAGCTGTCATTTCTTTTAAAGTAATTTATGTTTTATGGAAATAGCTTTCGAAGTTTTATCAGGATCAAAGAGATAACCATCAAGTTTAAAGAAAGTAATCGCAAAGCACTGAAAAATCAAGCTTATGGATAGTAACCTATATATATTTTATAGCAGGATTTATTAAATATAAAATATATCTTTAAAATAAAATTAAATACATTTTATTAGTAACCATATATATTTTGTTTCAAGCAAAGTTAAAGGCTTAAACAGCCCAAGACAATAGTCCAAAAGTTCTCAAAGTAGCCTATAATGCCTTCCCGAAAATAATGTTTTTTTTTAGGTCAAAAAAAAGAAAAGTTTTAAGAACTTGACCTCTTATAACAAAGAAAGTAGTCTCAGAGCATTGAAACCAAAATATTAAGCAAAATTAAGATTTAGAAAACTAGCAAAACACATTACTGAAAGATTCCTCTTAAATAGAAAAATAAAAGAAACACAAAAGTTTTAAAAAATAAATTACAAATTTCAACAAACATTTACAGGTTATTTTTGCTATAGGTTCAGGTGAGCTAATTTGTAAATTGTAATAAAGTGATGTGTAACAGAAGCATGTTTGGGGGGTTTGGAGAAGTAATCTTATCCCAAAGTACCACCTTTATTCTGAAACACTAATGTGTAAGCATATAGACAGTAACCTGTAAATTCCCATATAGTAGCCTCTTAGTTCTGGAGTAGGAATCTAAAAGTTTTGGTTAAGTAACTTCTAGTTTTAACAAGAAAAAATCTCTACATTCTGGAAAACTAATACGTAAGTTTAGAGATATGTATGGACTGTTTTAAGTGTTGCAGAAATTAGTTTAGAAAAGAATCATAAAATTAATCACTTCTCACTTGTTTAGGTCCTGTCCTTTTTATTTATTCCTCTGTGTTTAGCTTCTTACTTATTTTTGGTGGTTTGTTTGTGCATTCATGTTATTTTTGTCATGTCGGTCCTTTAGGTTTTGGTTCAGTTCACCATGTTCACTGTATTAATTGGTCTCCTGCCCTTATTTTCATTCTCAGTTCTCTCCTCTGACAGCTGTTTGATATTCCCCTGTTAAAACTCACATGTTTTCCATGTCATTGATCAACAGGAAGTCTGTATAAAGGTTCCTGGTTTTCCTAATTCACTGCTGGATTCTTCTGGTACTCTTTTTTTCTTTCTGGCCCGATGTCCCATTCTTGATATAAGTCTTTATTTCCAATCATTTAAACTGCTGACTTCTGCCCTCTGCTACTTGTCTACCTGCATTTGGGTCCAAGTAAAAACCAAACATGACATAACCACTTCTACATGTTTTTCCTTCCACAGTCTTCAAAGTTTCTAACCTAGCATCTGCATGTAAGAAGATAAAATCAAGCCTATTCTGTTGTTTCTGTGGATTTGCCCATCTAGCTTACCTATAATCACACAAAGTGTCAGTCAGATACAGAAAATATTTTGAAGTATATTAATACATAAAAGCACTCACCAGATGAACAAAATAACAATTTCAGAATGAATTAATTAATTATTTAATATGAAAAAAAAAACATTTTTGTAAAGGAAGATGATGATTTCTTCCACTCATCATCATCGTTTCTGTTCTCTGAAACAGGTATTATTAGTAGATATTTTTTTCCTATTCTTGGAAAACGTCTAGCAGTCATTGCACAAGCCTTTTTTTTGTAGTTGAGGGGGTACATTTTGTCTGAATGTAAACAACTTGCACCTTCCACATCTTAAATTTGCAGATGAAAATATTTTGCTTCTTACACTGCGGAACTAACAAAGTAAACCATATTTAGATGTGAGCATAACATCGAAACCCAAGACACACAGTTTACATTTTTAGCACAGATGAAATCCGAGTCATCCTGTAAAGTAAAACACGTATCCATTGAGTAAATAACTTTAGACAGATTTGGCGCAGGGAGAAAAAAAAAAAAAAAAAGGTTTGGTGAAATGCTATGACATCCCTGCCTGGAAACAGCCCTCTCAGACATGTAGCTGCTCAGATTATGACTCAGTGTGTTATACGAGTTTAATTTTGAGCTCTTGCCTTCTTTCAAAAGTTAGATCCTGGTGTGCATAAATCGACGACTGATTCCTGGAAGGGTTTATAGGTAGACCGCAGCCCCCTCACTGATTCCCCTCTGAGAATAGCTGAGTAGAGGCAGGTGAGAATGAGCAAGAATCCTACCAGCAGAAGCAGCAAAGTACACTGTCAAGTGCTCTCATCTTGCCATAGTGACAGGGTGACTGCTGTGAGGATGTCTTTGTCATCTATAGGGGACAGAGCAAACATCGAAGCCTCACCCATTAGTCTCACAAGCAAGATACACACACACAGATCCATTACACAGCTTACAGAGAACCCAAAGAAGCCATAACATGCTGCAGAACGAGAAGTTTTCCAGATGAGAAACCCCACAGCGTTAAATTAATCATCTATTCCCAGGCTGTGTTAGCATGCAGACTGGTCTCACTCTTCCCTTTGCTCTTCTCAGATACAAAAACACATTTACTCTCTTTGTGACTGCTTTTATGGAGGAGTCCTCCATATGCTTTAGCATTTCTTTGCTAATAAAGGATGCTTTAAGCAGTTATCACTGAGGGGGAATGACACCGCAGGATCACTCAGCAGTGATGTGGAACAGGTTGATCTGTCTGGTCAGTGATATAATGTGAAACGCCATCAAATTTGAAAGCAACAGATTCAACAGTGGAAAAGAGATTCTATAAGATAAAAAAAAGAATGAATCACAGACAAAGCTGTAAAGAAATGAAACATGTTTTAACATTTTTACTTTACATTTAAAATGTATGGCACTTAGCTATAATTATATATGAAATAAAATCATATATATATATATATATATATATATATATATATATATATATATATATATATATATAAACTGTATATATATATATATATATACAGTTTCTTTGCTAGAAACATGTATCAAACAGGTTCTCTAGCTTCTACTTGAAGTGTAACAAGCCTTTCAGATACCACAGTGCTTAAGGTTTAAACCAGGGGTCTTCAGCATTTTCCAGGCCAAGGACCCCCACACTGATGGAGCGGGGACCCCCTAATTTTATATATATATATATATATATATATATATATATATATATATATATATATATATATATATATATATATATATATATATATATATATATATCAGACTGGTACTATAGTCACTATTATAGATGAAGTAATGTAACAAAAGTAATTTCACCCTGGGATTATTAAAGTATTTCTGATTCTGATTCCTGGTTGATGGGACAGGTGTTGTGAATGAAAGGGTGCCCAGCTTGAAAGAGCTCCTGTGTGTCACTGAATGTGTGCATTGATGACTGAAAGACATCTTCTTTCTCCATTTATTTGTTTACTTCAGTGTGTTAAATTCATGTTAATGTGGATTTAAAGAAAGTCAGTCGAAAAAAATTGGGGAATTAAAAAAAAAGAAGTCTAATCAACCAAAACTTTAGCGACCCCCATGCAGTACCTCTGTGGACCCCCTCGGGGTCGTGCACCCCCTGTTGAAAACCTCTGGTTTAAACTAATTGCTAGTTTGCAATTCTGGTCAGAATTGAGCTCTTCTTTAAAAGTGTCACATTTTTATGATCAAGACTGTATTTGTTTGGGGTTTCTTTTGGTCAAATATTAGCCCCCATCTGTCAGTGGGTTAACTGGGTTAAGGTAACTGCTGCTATTTTGTTCTTCTGTCTGGTATGATGCTGGAGATTCTCAGTCATCCAGGTCTTGAATTGAGAAAGCTTTCTGGATGGGGAGCGGAACGTTTTCCAACTTGGAAAACAAAGCCCAGTTGTTTGTTATTTAACTTTTTTAACCTTTTTTGGAAGTTATTGTGTCTTGCTTTCAAAGCCAAATAGTTTGTGCCATGGCTGATCTACCACAACAGTTCTCAGCCCCATA